TTTTTTTTTTTTTTTTTTTTTGGTAAGAAGAAGCCCAAAGGAACTATTTTAAGGAGGCAGTTAAAGAACCTGCTACGCAAACCATTTGACTAAAGCAATCCCTGAGCCCAAGGCTGGGAAGTGTTGCTTAAGCAACTCGCTGGCGTTTTCAGACGATATTACTGTCGCGGGAGATAAGGCAAAGTCGGTGGATGTCATCTGGGGAGATAGTGAGGAGGTGTCTCACACGGCTCGGCACCTGCGATGAGCGGCACCGAGAGCGTGAGTCACGGGCGCTGCGCGAGGGAGGCCCCGCTCTGCAGCACTGGCTTAATTGCCCCAGAAAGCAGCAGTTAAGCAGGGAAACTTCCCAAAAGGGGGGGCGAGAATCACAGAATGACTGAGGTCGGAAGGGACCTCTAGTCCAAGCCCTCTGGTCAAGAAGGGTCACCAAAAAATGCCCTCGGAGGGTGGCACAAGCACCTGTGTTCCTGACGGAAACTCAGGGGCGCAGAAGGCAGCAGAAGTTGGGTCATTTTACAAATACATGACAAAAATACCCTTTTCCTGAGCAAGCCACCTCCTGCTRCTTTGGGAGCACATCATATCAAGCAGTAGATGCATCCCCAAAGAATCCAGGGGCAGCTCATTCTGGAGCTGGTTTTGATGGAGAAAAACTGGACATAAAAGACTCCCATATTCTCCCGGAATCCCGAGTGATGGGCAGGCTGGAAGGCCACGTACCCTGAGCTCTGGGCTAGGTGACATTCCCAGGCCAGAGGGCCAGTGACAAACCTGTGTCTTCAACCCCTCTATCACTCTTTTTATTTACTGTATACAACAACCACGGAGATCCCTCGTGGGCAGGTGTCGCTCCCGGCTCAAGCGAACCAAGGGTGGGTTGTGTTACAGCCGTGACAGCCCAGAAGCAGAATCACCATAGTCGCCTGGCACTTTCCATSCTAGGACCCTTCAGTTACTTAAAAACCTCTGTCAAGCCTTAACTGATTGGACTGAGATTTCTTATTGTTTGGTTTGGAAAAAAAAACAGGGTAGTATGTTCTGGACATCTCTGAAAAACAGACGGAGAGGAATGAGAGGGGGGTTAAAAAAAAGGCARTTTTGCTCATGTTAACAAAACATTTAGTGATTGTCGTGAAAAATACAGTTCTTTATATTCTGGAGCACGCAAAGGGCAATTTCGTTTGTGTCTCGAACGCCTTAGCCGTGTTCAGCAGTCTCTTAACTGGGAACTGATCACTGGAATTTCTCATCTCTTCAGTGAGACACAGCCGAATGCAAGTCAGCCTCAGACTAGCTGGCACCAGGCTCACATTAAGTCTTCTGGGACATGTTAATTGCCTAAATAAAATTAACTTGGTTGGTGCTGAACACATCAGTTGCTAAGAGTACATTTTCACAGTCCCTGTAAGCCAAGCATGGAGCCAGCTGCTGCCACACAGGGAAGTCCCAACTTSCCGGTTTGCAGCTTCCATGTTTCCATTCCTTGGCTGGGGCAACATAAACAGCGAGGCTACGAAATTGATCTTACCAAAATAATACTACAGCCAAATAAATAAATAAATACATAAATACATAAATAAAAACCCCACCCAACTCTGGTTAGGTCAGCTTCTTGAAAATAAAATCTGTATAATCCAATAATCCAAATATGTGAGGAACTACTTGCAGGTGAGGATGTATTTTCCAGGTCGGCCTGGTTGTATGATAGAAGAGCCGTGCCATTGCTTGGAATATAGAAATATGGGAGGAAATGTGTGTAATTTGAGGCTTACCCCACTAAAAGCCTCATTCATACCAGAAACATGCTTGTGATTATTGGCATAATGACAGAATCCCAGAACCTCTTGCACCAGAGCTTGTGACCAGACACCCAGTATTCGACGTGCACTCAAAGGTAGTCAYGATTTCTCAAAAATGCATTGAAAATTAAATGCATATATCCACCCACTCAAAAGAGTGAATTCCTCAAACGGTTCCATGTCAGGCTGAGAGAGAATGAATATCCCAAACCACCTCTGTGAACAGAACTTCATGAACAAACGTTCCCAGCTTCAACGCTGTTTAACAAAAAGTCCAAATGAAAGAATGACAAAAACTTAAAATATTCTTAACARCACTGGGCCCGTCCCACATTAAACAGCCAATGATACAGATACTTAGATGAGTAAAAACCATATTTTCCAATGTAATAGCTGCAAGGCAACCAGGCGAATGGCACGGCAGAACTCAGCACTGCATTCAGGGATTATTCTCCTGCTCTTGGCAAGGGCTTCTGTCCTTGCACATCTCACACAGGCCTTGGCATCGCTGCCAATGCCGCCGAGGTCAGAGCAGCTTTCAGGGTCCATGCCAGGCCCCGACTTCTTACCCGCTATTGTCTTTCCCTTCATTTCACTTTATTCCCAGAAAAGCGGGCTTGCATTATTTTCTCACATTACAATGTTGCTCCCACATTGCAGAAAATGTTCTCGCAAATTAAGTTTTGCCAGCCGGTCTAACAGTGATTAAAGCAACAGATTGTCACACAATTTTCCACCCTTTGAAGCTAACTACCCGGAAGAAAACCCACATCTAAATCACCAGACACGCTGCAAGTCCAAACCAAGTATTGGCCCCCAGCATTTATTATTTGTGTGTGCATCTATCACAAAACAGTTTTTTTTCCCCTCTATAAAACGTGGCATTTGCATTGAAAAAGTTGATCAGTGAAAACCAGGCTTCATTAATAGCTTGCCAGGATGCAGACTCCCGAGCCATTAGGAAAGGGGAACATATCTGTTTTTATCAGTGGTGTTTGTGCTAGGAAGGAAACAAGGACCATCTTTCTTTTTTTGGCCCACAGGCTGTTCAGACTTGCATAAGAACTGAGTATTAGAAATGGCTTTGGAAAGAGAAAATTGATTTCAGGACTGAGGGGTGGCATGAAGGGGAGGAGAAGAAGAGGGAGAGGGAGAGGGAGAGGGAGAGGGAGAGGGAGAGGAGAGGAGAGGAGAGGAGAGGAGAGCCTGTGGGAGATGCAGAGTAAGGAAAAGGTGAACTATGACTCACTGGTAATAACAAAGGGGGCGAGGATAGAGAACGATAAGAAGTGAGGCAGAGATTAGCCCTTTTTTTTAAGTAATGACACAGTAAGTCTCATGCTAAAGCTTGGGAAGATTTTGTTAATTTGCTAGTAGCCAGGAGCAAGGAGTGGGGGGAGGAGAAAGATGAGGTTGATTACTCTGCACTATTTCTATGACTGCGCTGATATTTAGGACAAAATGTTTCCCAGTGGAAATCTGGAGAGAATTACAGGATTACGCTGCCGTGCCCTTCCTAGCTCGTCCCTCCTTATGGGGAAAGAGTACAACTTTATTTTATTTTACAACTTTAAAACAATTATTTTGTTATGCGTGAAAAATCCAACATATCCAAGGGGTTCAGGCAGCTGACTTTCTGGAGAAGTAAGGAGAAAAACCTTCAGTTTCTGCCCACCTCAACAGCCACTCTCCAGCTTCCTCCACGGCCGGTGGAAAGGAAGAAGCAAAAGGAACATCTGGTTGAGGGAGAGATGCAGGGGAGTCAGGAGCCTGCGATGGCCTTTTCTCTGTCTTATGAAAGCAAGCTGCAGAGATTTGTCTCTAAAATCTYAACTAAGAAATATATATACATATTTCTTTAGCCCAGGAGAGGAGGACAACCATGTGGACCCCGTCAGATTTACGCATCCGTCGTTAAAACGTCCAGCGCAGCGCTGGCAAGATGGTGTAAGCAAGACAGGCAAGAGACAAACGCAATCTCCTCCCCTCTGGGGAGACCTCCCGAGTTACTGACCCTTCGGAAGGGAGAGAAAGAGGGAATGGGGGAAATGCTGCAGACTGCCCTTGCATTCGCTCCGATATTTGCTCCTTCTTTATCTGCAGCATCCCAGAGGCAGCCGAGGCTCCTTTGTTTGTGGGAAGGGCTGCTTATCTCTGAGGTGGGGCCCTAGCAGAGGCACAAAGCACACGCACATAAACACCCATCAACACAACTCCCCTCTCCTCCTCCTCCTCCTCACCACAGGCGCTACCTACACAAGCCCCATGCAGCAACTTGTCTGGTCAGGTCCCAAGGTGGAGCTGATTAACTCCTGCGAATATGGCTCGGATTCAAACTGCAACCTGCAGGACACCACCCTGCCAGGAATTCAGGTATCCCTGCCTTATACACTCCCTGCATCCAGCAAACCTGTATTACTGCTGGAAAATCCAAGCTCAGGGCACACAATGGGGCAACTGGGTCTTTTATTTTACTTCTTTCTTTTTGTCACCCCATAATA